CTTCTTGAATGTCTTTTTTGTTTATCTGGATGATTGTGTTTTTTTTTTGTTTTCAATAAATAAAAAGTGCTTTGGCTTTAGAGACACAATAAGTAAGGCTAGATTTCTTCCAAGTCTCTCTCACAAAAGAGAACCATTCTACAGACCCAAATTATACAGTTATTTCAAAAAACCTTGTTGGGGAGAATGGCGAACAGCGATTGTCGATGGTAGATTGCACGACTGAAAGGGACTATGGTTACACCCCCTGTTTTGATAAAAAAAATTTACTTATTGGATTCACCAAACATACCCAGTGCTTTCAATAATAGGCAGCTACCGCTACCTTAATAAATTAATTTGGTTGTAAATTTTTGTTTATATTACCTTTCTGTCGATGTGTTATATATATATATATATGATATAAACGGAATAAAAGTTAATTTTTTCGCACGAAGTTCGTTCCTAGTTCGTTTCGATTCTTTTGACGACTTTTGCATGTTCTATGTGTCAGCGGTTTACTTTTTACCAGCCTCGTTTTCAAAATAAATTCCAATATGGCGGCAGAAAGCGAATTTTGCAACTCATGTTTCGGGCTCTGAGTGAGTAATGTTCAAATGACATGCAATAGGTACAGGAGCTATCATCAATTCGATTATTTTGAGTTAAAAAAGAAATAAAGTTGTGACAAATCCTGTCATTTTTTTTTAATTTTCAGTGCTAATTTTGAATGTGTCAAATATATATTGTTACTTGTAAAAACTAAAGCATAAACAACTATGATTACGAAAGTGACAGTGACAGTACATAAGTAGATTAAAGTTGTCCGAAAATTAAGTAATGTTTCCTTGAAGTATCAAATATTTTCTCTCATAACAATACAACTACAGGGACGAGATTTTTTTCCGTGTAAGTTAGAATGTAAAAAAAAAATCGAAAAAGCAAAAATAAAATAAAAAGTGTCCAAAAAATAATTGTCAAAGTCACTCAAAATGCTGGAAATCGCATCTCTGGCGTTCTCAATTTCAAAATTTCCCGGGGAGGCATGCCCCCAGACCCCCCTAGAGGCTCGCGCCTTCGGCGCTCGTACATCTGTGACCAATACTAGCCCCCCCACTTTTAAAACTGTTCCGCTGTCCTGTACTATGAATAAACATTATTGAGATAGCAAGGGTAGAAAATCGTAAATTTTGCATTTAACATTTAATGAAAATTTAAGCTGAAATTGCTTGAAAATGCATCCGAGAGTCTAAATTTCAAAATTGGACACAGACGCTTACTTTTAGCCCCCAGCCGCCTACTGTAAATATTATTGAAAGCTCGGAAATGGAGCCAATGTTTACCATAGACTATCTTACAGTATAAAACAGTTGTTATTGCGTTTCAACTAGCAAAACCCATGGCTACTAGACGTGCAATCGCCATTCGACCATTGACATTCGCCATTTTATCTGACAACCTTTTTTGAAATAGCTAAGTATACATGTATATACAGTAGTTCCAGATCAGGATTCAAACCAGGACCACAGCGGTGATAGACCAGCATTTTAAAAACTTGTCTTGGTCACCACTGTGACCCCAAGAATAAAGACAAAGCGAGAGAGATTGGGGGTCTACTATTTTATTATAAGACAGTCTGTCCATTTGTGTCAGCAGAAATAACTTTTAAGAAGTAAGTTGTCTACTAGATGCATGTGTTACTTTGTAACTTACCTTCTGTGCATATTCCACCAACAGCTGACCGCCGAGGATTTCCAACATAAGCAAGACCAATAACACCATCGTCAAAATCCTGATACGTAAAGAGATGTGCCAGGCAATATTTCTTCCACTCTGGTTGATAACTAAAAGCCTAGTAAAACCAACAAGAAGATCGTCTCATTACTTCTAGCAACTGTGTTAATGTTGCAGTGCGCAAACAATGATATTAAGCATAGTTACATTTTTCAAGGTTTATTTAGAATTTAATGGATGTTAATATCCGACTTGCGAATTACTCATCAATAGTCACATACAAAGGAATCAAGACGAGGCGCCGTGCTTTTTTGAGAAAAATATAATATTGTCTTTAGCACGGCGCCTCGTCTTGACTTGCGAATTACGCATCAATAGTCACATACAAAGGAATCAAGACGAGGCGCCGTGCTAAAGACAATATT